ATATATATGTATATATATATATATGTATATATATATATATATGTATATATATATATGTATATATATGTATGTATATATATATATGTATATATATATATATACATATGTATATATACATATATATATGTATATATACATATATATATATGTATATATATATATATATATACACACACATTCCAATTCAAATGAATTAATACTAAATTGTTAACCTAGTTCTTCTGCATGGATGTTAACATTGGTGATTTTTGTGGAGGGTTTTAATATTTTGAGGATATAAATATTTATCCTGTATGCTGAAATTTATAATGGCAAATATGACATTTCGAAAGTCACCATTCTATAACAAGTAAGTGATCATGGTTGGGGAAATCCAAAACTGATTGTGGAAGGGTGTCAGATATGGACCACAGTTGACAGGTTCATCATGTGAAATATGTTCCTCCTGCTTGCTTTTTGTCTGCTGCAGTTTGAGGATGTGGAGTATAAAATTAATGGGAGTTCAAGGAACCCTGTGAAAGCTACAATTGCCGGTGTAGCCTCCTGGCTGAGGATGGAGCAAGGAAACTGCAAGCACATACTGAAAGGCATAACTGGAAGTGTTGGCCCTGGTCAAATCCTTGCTATGATGGGGCCTTCAGGAAGTGGCAAGACCACCCTGCTAAAATTACTTGGTGGTAGGTTGGATGGGGACATCAGAGGGAAGGTTACTTACAATGACACTCCTTATGGCCCCTCTCTCAAGAGGAGGTGAACAACTGCTCTTTCTACATGTTTCAATTCTTTTGTTATTGAATTACATTGATTAAGAGTTGGAATTTCCCTTGTTTCGATGTGTACATCAGTAGGATTGTCCACTTTATGATTTCATTTTACCAAATGCTGATCTTGTTGCAATTGCTTGACAGGATTGGATTTGTTGCACAGGATGATGTGCTGTTTCCTCAACTTACAGTGGAGGAAACCCTTGTCTTTGCAGCATTCTTGAGGCTTCCCACAGAGATGAGTCGCAAGGACAAGTACTTGAGGGCGGATAGGATCATAAAAGAGCTAAGTTTAGAGAGGTCAGTATCAGTGTTTGCTATGGTCACATATATGTGCAAGCAGCCCATATGAATTATATGTTCCTATTGGTTAGAACAATCTTGTTAATTTTGAATCAGGTTCTGCTCTAACTTGAGACTTTGTAAGTGAACTTTTTCCCCTACATTTTTGTAGTTTAAATGCTTGTGGATTTGCTTGGGTGTCTCTTTGCATGTGAAGCATGTGTGTGCTTAATCATTTGGTTAAGCTAGTTTTAGTAAGTTTGAGGGAGATTTCAATGTACTGTATTTGACCTCGGCTAAATCTATAACGAAGTGTTGGTTGTACTTGCAAAATCGGAATCGACTTAGATCATTAGCTTGTGTTGGTGGTAATTTGTCATATTAATACTCTATCCCCACCTCTGCAAATGAAACCATGTAGCCGGTGCTCCAAGTATAATATTAGTCTCAACTTTTAGATTCATTCTTTAGTTTTGACATGCAAATTATTCTTTCTGATTATTTTGGTTTTATTCACAAAACAATGTATACATTCATGATAATCTATATTTATTAGCGGAAATGTCTTTTTCAAGTTTCTAGATAGATTTTCCAAGATATTGATGCTTCCACTACTACCTTGATACACTAAATCTCATTAGGATCATGTGATCATGGTCCATGCTATTGAAATGTTTGGCCCTCATTTCTTGTCATCAAAATGATTTGATTCTATTTATACTAGATATATAAGGTGATTAGAAAAAAGGTTAAATAAGTTAAAAAACTGTTTTGATGCACTCATTATTTATCTCTGTGAATTAGATGCCGACACACCAGAGTGGGTGGTGTTCTTGTGAAAGGCATTTCAGGAGGAGAAAGAAAAAGGACCAGTATAGGTTATGAGATCCTGGTCGATCCTTCATTGTTGTTTCTTGATGAACCCACTTCAGGCCTGGATTCCACCTCTGCAAGCAAGCTCCTTATAATTCTTGGAAACCTGGCAAAGGTGATAAAGTCAACTGATTCTCATAACTGTCTTTCTGAGGAAAGCTTATATGAACTGTTTTCGCTAATATCAGTTAATTAATTACGGGGAGAGTAATATGTTGTTTCACTTCTGGAAAAATGCTTATTATACACGGAAAAATCAGACATCTGTGGAGAAAATAACACCTGAAGAATCTGCAAAAAATGTATGTTTGAGGGTTTTTTTCCCTCCAATTTCAGGTAGGGCGAACAGTTATCATGACCATCCATCAGCCATCTAGCAGGATATTCTACATGTTTGATAAGCTTTTGTTGATATCTGAGGGTCAAACCATATACCATGGTAATGCCAGGGAGTCCATGCATTATTTCTCGTCCCTGGGTTTTGTGCCTGAGATGGCCATGAGTCCTGCAGAGTTCCTGCTAGATATAGCGACCGGACATGTCAAAGACATCAGCATCCCTGAAACTTTGCAAGGTTCAACAAATATGCAGGAGATCGAGGTGAAAGTAATTAAGGTGAAAAAGAATCTCAAGAAATCTATTAAACCATTGTGTTCTCTCATTGCTCTTTAACTAAGATACTTGTAGTTTAGTCAAGAGCAAGTTCATTTTGCAAGAACTTGCAGAAAGCTCAATGTTCTGTTTCTTTTTTCTAAGAAAAAATTATTATGCCAGTTTAAAAGTGAGCATTTTGATTTCTACTGCAAGTTATCTCTCATTCCAACACCATATTTATTTGTTTCCTTCATTGCCTCTTACAGTTTCTGCAATGCAAATATAAGACAGATTTGGAACCTAGAGAAAAAGAAGGGAACTATCATTCAGTAAAAGCACCCATGAAGCTTCAACTATCAATTCAAATTAAAAAGGATTGGACTTCGAATTGGGTGGAGCAGTTCATTATTCTATCAAAGAGGACATTTAGGGAGAGAAGCAGAGATTACTTAGACAAGCTAAGATTTTCACAAACAGTTGGAGTGGCTGTTTTATTAGGCCTTCTATGGTGGAAATCTAATATAGGAACTGAAGCTCAATTAAGAGATCAGGTGGTTAACAAAACACAGACAGTTCAACTTCTGCTGTAAGATGTATAAATATTATTTGCAGCACAACATTATTATCACAAATGTTGGCGGAGTAATTTAAAATATCTTTTGACCCCTCTATTCCATTTGAGTCTTAAGCATTTTCTTCCATGATGCAGGTTGGCCTAATGTTCTATATCTGTATATTCTGGACATCATCATCATTAATTGGAGCAGTATATGTCTTCCCTTTCGAAAAGTCCTACTTGGTGAAAGAAAGAAAAGCTGATATGTATAGATTTAGTGTTTATTATGTGAGTAGCACTCTCTGTGACATGATCATCAATATTGCGTATCCCATCATTTTTATGGTCATCCTGTACTTCATGGTTGACCTCAGAAGAACGACGCCTTGTTTTCTCTTGACGTCCTTTGCAATTATGTTGATCGTCATCACGAGCCAGGTAATTTAAGATCATGAAGCCATTTATTTTGGTATAAGGCAGTATGTTTATAATTTACTTATTTAGACAAATGAAAACAAACATCTTGTGCTAGCACTTGTAGATGAAGTGTTCAAAAAGAAGAAAAAAAAGACTTGGGTACCAAAAAGTTATATTTCATTACTTCAACCACCCAACTTGAGATCTAAGACATATATTTCATAATAGAACTTGATGTGAATTTGGATATTTTAAGGTCACCATCTTTCAAAATTCACAAGTAAGAATTTTGCTATATTATGGTAGATTCTTACGTTGGTTCTTCAGCAGGAAATTTCTGGAGAAAAATACCTGAATAACTTCTCTTTCTATATTTATTTTTCTTTTTCTTTCCAGTAATTCTTAACATTTCCAACATTCACAAATCTGTCTAATTCCAGGGAATGGGGGAGTTAATTGGTGCAGCAATGTTAAGTGTCAAACGAGCTGGGTTGATGGCATCATTGGTTCTAATGTTGGTTCTCCTCACTGGTGGATATTATGTGCAGGTATCTATGTCAGTTACTAGAGGGCTAATCAAGATCCGAAGAAAGTTGATATGGCTGAAACTCAAAGTGATTATTTATTTGAGGATTAAAGAAAAACTCAATCTGATTTATGTTTTTAATAAATTATCTATCGTATCAACTTCTGAAACATTAGCAAATTCACAACTTCTCTCGAGGAGCTTCCTAGCGATGATAACAACTGAATTTGCTTGTCTTGCAGCATATTCCCAAGTTCATGATATGGCTGAAGCACATATCATTCATTCACTATGGCTTTAGACTCGTGCTGAAAGCACAATACTCACAACACATAGTGTATGATTGCCAAAGTAAAGGTGGATGTAAACACTTACAGAGCTCACCAACATTTGATACTATAGACTTGAGCAGCCGATTACAGGAAGTCTGGATTCTCTTGGCCATGGCTCTTTCTTTCCGAATACTTGCTTATTTTGCTCTCCAGAGAAGAATAAACATGACTCCTTTTTAAGTTTGGAGTTTTGTAAAAGAGTGCAATGCTCGCAATTCTTGGTGTATGACCACCAAAATAAATGTGGACGTAAACACTTATGGAGCTCACCAATGTTTGATACTATAGAGTTAAGTGGCCGATTACAATAAGTCTGGATTCTCTTTGCCAAGGCTCTTACTGACTGATCGCTTGCTTATTTCACTCTTCAACGAAGAATAAACATTACTCTTCTTTGATTTTGGTCTTGATAAAAGCACAATACTCTTGATACTTGGTGTATGATTGCCAAAAGAAAGGCTGATGTAAAAGCTTACAGGTGCTCACCAACATCTGATACTATCGACTTGAGCAGCTGATCACAAAAATCCTTGGCCAGGATACTTGTTGATTGCTTACTTATTGTGCTCTTCAGTGGAGAATAAACATTTCTCCTGTTTGATTTCAGACACACACTTAATCTGATTGATTGGTGTATGATTGCTAAAGTCAAGGCGGCTGTAAACACTTGGAAAGCTCACCAACATTTAATACTATGGAGTTGAGCAGCCTGACTACAAGAAATCTGGAATCTCTCAGCCACAACTCTTATTGATTGCTTTCTTATTTCCATCCTTCAACGAAGTACAAAAGTTACTAATTGATTTCAGACTCTTCATCTCATTACCTGGTGAATTGATTGCCAATGTAAAGGTTAATGTAGACACTTCATCTTTTTCTGGTAATTCTCCATACATACGTTTTGTCCTGCAAATTGAAAGAATTTGTTGGGAATCCTATGAAATTTGTGCACCTGATTTGATCAAGAAAACCTAACAAAATTAGTTGGAAATCGGGAAAAAAATCCGGAAGTATTTTGGATCTTTAATTGCCCAAATTGACATATTATTAAGCAACTAAGTTAACCCAATATGGATTAGTCATTAATCAAATATACACATCAAACAAACACTTCCATTCTCCTACTTAGTATTGAAATATTTGGCGATCTTTCACTCCTCCCATCACGCTTTCGTCTCCTCTAAACTTACTGGTAACCAGCGGCGACGAGCTGCTTCGCTGAAACCGGCTACCGCCGGTAGTCGGAAGTCTACGGTGGGACGCAAACGGCCGTAACGGACACCTGACGACCGGGTACCGCCCGTAAACACTGAGGCCGGGGCTCACTTATAAAGCCCCCCTGGCGTTGGGTTATCGGCTCTCCGCCGCGGTGTCTTCGCTTGATGCTTTCTCCCGTTCGCAGGGCGAAATCCTCCGGTGAACGAGCTCAAGATCGGCGAGTCCCGCTTTCGGATCTCTTCTGTAAAGGGTTCCCCTTCTCCCCCACCAAGATCTCGAGTCCTCTCTGCCGGGTGAGTTCTTGCTTGGATCTCAGGTGTCGATCGCCCCATGAACACGATCTGGTTGGCTTCTTGTAGGTTGAGTTCGGAATTGTGGTTTGAATCCTCTGCGTGTTCGGGGTTGGGAGATCTCGCATTCTTGATGAATACGTTGATCTGCCGACGGAATCTTGGTTCTTGATTTCGTAAGGGTTTCAGAATATCGGTTTGTTGGTTCTTGGTTGGATCCCTTCCAGATCTGATCGCAGATCATTCTCGCCGGAATTTGGCTTTTGATGAGATTCTTGTAGCTGTGATTTCTCGAATTGAAGTTCTTGGGGAAATGAGGGGCTTGAGATCGAAGTGTAAAGTTGTTGTTCTTGTACTTCTCTTTGTATGGGTGGCTATCACGGGGCTATATGAACTGTTGAAACCAGTCCCGAGTGGCTGCATCATGACATACATGTATCCGATGTATATCCCTATCCCCACGCCCGCTAATGTCTCGTCGGACAAGTACGGGCTGTTCTTGTACCATGAGGGATGGAAGAAAATTGATTTCGATGAGCATCTGAAGAAAATTAATGGCGTCCCTGTTCTTTTCATACCTGGAAATGGTGGCAGCTACAAGCAGGCGAGCCTTTTTAATCTTTTACCCTTTTCATTGTTCAAAGTATAAAATTTTCACTTTCTCCAAGTATCTTAGTTACAATATGTTATTTAAAAATGTTTATCTTTTGTATTATACCAGTTATTTCTCTAGCTCTGTAGTAAAAAAAAAAAACACTTCTTGTTCATGTACATTCAAGTTAATGATGCAAATTTGTGTTCAAGACTTGATGCATATTTTATAGCAGCAAGGAATTTTGCTGCCAAATCTGGTCTGATATTTGAGTAGTTTGACTGGAAATAGACTTCACCAATGAAATTGTTGGTCTTTTAAATTAATCACGATGCTTGTCATTCCTTGAAAAGTCAAACTGACCTGACACAGTCTGCATCCAACATTTGGGAAAACCAAGAAAATATGGGGAAAAGATAGGATTTTGATAATGTTTTTATTTCCATGGTACGGGAAGAGAATAGGGATGGGTGTCAGTTTCAACCGTACCTTCTTAATATAGGCTTCTGATCTTCCTTCTAGTGAATCAGATAAAGATTTCCATTATGTTCGCTGAATTGCATTTTGAATTCACTGGAATGCCTAAGCTGTTATAGAATTATGCAAAAGATCGGAGACTTTAAAATACCAACTCCATATATCAGTTAATCTGTATGCATTATTTTTCCTGTTCAAACAAACTTGTAATCAGAACTACTGTCATTTTCAACTAAAGCGAAAATGGCTAAGTTGACTAATAGTAACTTTATATTTACTGTGAAGTATGGTATCAATGGAAGACCACTAAAGGGAAAAAATAGTTAAAAGTGAAACAACACATAGAAAATATGTTTATAGTTTGAAGGTACAAAGATTTTGTTCACAATCTTGAAGGTACATAAAATAAAGTTGTAGACATAAATGCTTCATCACATAGCCATTTATGGTTCTGAATACATGCCAAATTGTCATTTTCATTAAACTTCTTAATTTGATGTGCAAAATAACTCAAAAGTCCTCCTCTGAAAAGTCATTAAACTTCTTAAAAAATGAATGCTTCATCCATAAAAAAAATTATAATTAGGTAATTAAAGGATCTTTTTGTGATGGTTGCTGAACTGATGTCAATTCCAGATATAGTGCAGACTGCAGAGTTAATTTTCAAAAAATGAAGCAGGCAAATTGGAGTTGTAGGTAGTATTTACTTTTTTGAACAATTTTTTCTGAAGCTATTATCACATAGCCATTTATGGTTCTGAATACATGCCAAATTGTCATTTTCATTAAACTTCTTAATTTGATGTGCAAAATAACTCAAAAGTCCTCCTCTGAAAAGTCTTCATATCTATTATGCACCCTGCATATGTGCTACGTGGTACTTTAATATCTGCATATCGCGCTTATTCGAACATTGCCTGGGTCATTTGAACATGCTCTAGTGATGTCTAGTGATGCTCCAAGCCCTAAGATATAGTGTAAGGTTGAACTTGGTTTGATGGCTTGTTGAAAAGGCAACTCAGGTAAATTGATCCTCTTTTGTACCATGGTAGATGAGCCATACATTGTGCATTTGTTTCAGGAATTTTGTTGTAATATAAACTCCACAATCTCTTCATCATACTCTTTCATGATTTTTGTATCGCTGACTTCAATTTGCCATTATCTTGACAACCTCAAGGCAACCTTCTTCTTTGTATCTTTGGACCCAGCAATGGCTCTTATTTTAAATATTTATAAGTATCTCGCCTGAATGATTACCTGAATTCTGAGTTATCATGTATCTTTTTTTGATCCTTGATTATGGAAGAACTAGGGTATTATACCTTTAAAGAGGTTATGAGCTTCTGAAACTGCTGGTATCTGTGGCTAAACTTTGGATCCACGGGGTCCATTTAGTTGTTATAATCTGCAGTTTCAAATTCAATCATATGTTCCTAGTTTCAACTATTGTCACAGAAAAATTTGTCTATACCTAGCTCTGTGCTGTAAATGTTGTTGTCATGACTTGATGTTGTATGATTTGGCAAGCAACATCAGTGGTTAATTGATTTCATGGCAACTGAAGTTATATGAGCTTAACGTACAGCCACAGGGACATATTCTTATCGCTAGCAGGCTTGGTTTAATTGAAACCTGGAAGTACTCTCTTCTCTTAATTTGCTTCCATTTTCTGAAGGATTTTTATCCAGCTTGATAAATGAGTGTTGGTGCACTTTAGGATTGAGTTAAATCAAGTACTTAAATTTGTGTCTTAGGAAATGCACATCTTTTTATTTTATGTTAGTCCATTATGATTTTCATTACAAAAACTTGGGGCTTCCTTAAGCCAGTTAGCATGGTAGCTTCTTCCTCCATTGAATCTAAACATTATGTTATGTCTCTGACGTCCCAATGTTCTGATTTATGCTCTTTTAAGCCTGCTTAAAGCTTGATTTGAATGTGGTGTTGTAAATAACATCTGTCTTGTTTATCTTTTCATCTGCACTTTGTCTTTCTAGGTCCGGTCTTTGGCTGCCGAATCTGAACGGGCTTACCAAGGAGGACCACTTGAACTAACTTTCTACCAGGAAGCATCTGTTGTACCGGAAAAGACAAAAACTAAGTCGGAGGATCTGGATAACTTTGTGCTTCCCACCCAATATAATCATAAGCTTGACTGGTTTGCTGTGGATCTCGAAGGGGAACATTCTGCCATGGATGGTCGGATACTTGAAGAGCATACCGAATATGTTGTATATGCAATCCATAGGGTATCTTCGATATTAGACTGAACCATGTGCTACGTTTTGAATGAAGAATTTACTTGCCCAAACGATAATTTGCTTAATTGTTATCAGATAGGTAAATAGTTGCATGACTACTAAATGGTGTAGAACCTGATCTCAGTTACATAGTTCTTTTTTCAGCATTTTATGCTGAAGATGCTTCCGATTATGCACATAAACAAAGAAACATTTTGTGTTGACAAACTAGTTTCTTTACACTTGTTTGAGCTGGTTAGTCCTCTTTAGTCATCGCTTGAAGTGCACCAAGGGATAGTTGCATTTAACCTTTACAAGTCAATGACATATCTGATTCCTATGTGGTTTCAATTAAATTGTTCTCAAGTAGTTTAGTGAGTTAGCAGAGCGGCATTTGGAAAAGCTGCAAACAGCAAGGGACAATTTTGAATCTTATATGATTTTTTAATACTTGAATTTTCTTAATTAAAATGTAAACATTGGATATCGCTTTATTAGCTTACTTTAGTAAGTGAGCATAAGTTGACCTGAAAATTACTGTATCTAAATCCTTTTGTATGGTCGTAATTCAAATATGAACTTGCCTGCAAAGTTTTGAATGTCGATCGGATCGGCACATGCTGATTGGCATTTACTGGTCCAACCAAGGACCAGTGGCGGGCCATATAGGTTGTTTATGTTAGTATCTAATATTTTATTATTTTGTCAATGATATTGGGCACCAGAATTCATATATCTTTCAAGTATATCGGCATCCTAATGGTCCAATCGGTTACTAAAATTAGTATCATTTCGAGATATAAATCCTTCTTTGTCAATTCTGACAAATTATGTAACTTGTTCTTTCATTTGTACAAAATTATGTACTAGATCATCAGATAATTGCTGACCCATATTTTCATATGCTCTTGTAGATCTTGGATCAATATCAAGAGTCTAAAGAAGCCCGATCTAAAGAAGGTGCTGATGTTTCCGGAAGCCTGCCCTCAAGTGTAATATTAGTTGGCCATTCAATGGGTGGCTTTGTGGCTAGAGCTGCAATTGTGCATCCATACTTGCGGAAATCAGCTGTCGAAACCATAATAACACTTTCAAGCCCACACCAGTATGTTTTATCACCTTTTTTCTCTGATTATGTAGATTATTAGATTTCTAGCATGAATATTTAATCCTTGATGAGAGCTTACAACTTGTCCAGATTGCCTCCAATTGCACTGCAACCATCCTTGGGGCACTATTTTTCACAAGTGAATGAAAAATGGAGAAAGGGTTATGAGATGCAAACAAACAATATTGGCCATATTATATCTGGTCCAAAATTATCTCATGTTGTTATTGTCTCTGTATCTGGCGGCATTTACGATTACCAGGTTTGTTTTTTATTTTTCTTAATGTTAGTTATAAAAGAGATTTTTGATGACTGTCTTTATTTTATCTTCCATTTATATTAGTGTTTACTTTATAGTTCTTGTTCCTGTAGTTCTTGGTTATATGATTAGTGATGTTCTATCAATCAGCATTCTAGATCCTTAAAGACAATACACTCAAGTCGGGAAACCATAGAAAATAACCTTGACCATATTTAGTGTGCATAATTGGGAGTTTTCTATGTGTGGTGTGATCATTGACCATATTTAGTGTGCATAATTTGGAGTATGCATAGAAAATAACCTTGACCATGTTCCAGCCAAAGTAGGTCTTTTGCAATTCGTTCAGATTAGGATGCCAATCCTTTTTACAATGAGTTGCTAGGTGTGTAATTTTGCATTTTCCTCTATTTTGCTTGGATGATTTTTGTTTGTGCTTGAGTTTGTAAATGTGACTTTGTTCAATGTAAATCTTGTGTGAGTATGCTGACTGTGGTCCCACTTCTTTGATGAATATGTTTTTCCAGGTCCGTTCCAAATTGGCTTCTTTAGATGGCATCGTTCCGTTTACTAATGGTTTTACAATAGGAAGCTCAGGTATGAACAATGTCTGGCTTTCAATGGAGCACCAGTCTATTCTCTGGTGCAATCAATTAGTTGTACAGGTAAGCAAGTCTACAGATTGGTGCATGGATCAGTTTGGTTCTGTGAGTCCTCCATCAACATCAATGTTCTTTGCAGATTTCACATTCTCTTCTTAGTATGGTAAACTCTGAAACTGGGCAACCATATCCAAGTGTAGCAAGAAGGATACTTGTGCTAACAAAAATGCTTCAAAGTGGCATACCTCATAGTTTAAACTGGCTGGGGGATATGCATACATCTCAGGTTTCAATAAAGCTTCCCATCAAGGATGCTGCACGTCATACTGGTATTTTTCATTTTGCCACCTCTAGCACATCACGCGTTGTTTTCAATTTTACCAAGTTTGTAATTATTTATGCACGAAAGCTGTACAGACTACAAATTCATGCACAAATTATCTGTGCACTGAAGCAATGACATTATTATAAAAAAGAACAAAGAAAAAGCTATCTTTCATCCGATGTGGATATGAACTTAGACATATTTTTTTTCATTCTTCGTACAAGTTTCAGAAATAAATTTTGGCATCAAATCTGTGACTTTTTAGAAAATAAGGGGGCTGTAAGAATAGCAGTGGCCTTCCTGAAGAGGACTTTTATTGTGACTGGCTGCTACTAGTGTTTGGTCTGGCGAAAGTGAAAGAGAAGAAAAAAACCAGAAGTGCAATTCTAGATAAGAGATTATTTCTTTATTCTGACTTTGGTTGGGAATGTGAAACTGACATCTGTGGCAATTAATGTATTGATTTTTCTTAACCAAACATCATAGGTAGCTATAAAATGATTTGACATATTTTAAAGCTAAACAAATTTGTTTTTATATGATCCAACTTAATATTATTCTTAACCCAGACACATTAAATCAATGTGATCAAATCAAAATTAACTAAATAATTAAAATTTATTCTAATTAAAACAATGCTGTCATATTTCATCTTTCTGCAATAATAAATTCTGGAACTCTGCAAATTTGGCAACGACTTTGGGT